AAATAACCCTGATATCTCATTTTAACAGATATATTTACCAAAATTACACAAAAATATCTCGAAATATTAAAGAGTAAATTTATTCAATGAAATCGCCATTGCCTTCAACCGCGGCCCCAGACGACTTTGGAATCTCCTGCGCACCACACATAATAATCAAAAAGGTTGCAGTCAAGGCAGTTACTTGGCCAGATGTCACAGAAATTGTCTGACAGCAATGACTGGGTTCTCCTGCTTATCTCGCATTGGGCAGAGTCCTGTTCCAGCAGGCATCCTCTTGACGCAGGGAAGATCTACATTCCCAAGGCAATTGATATAGACCTCTGTGTTGAGTCTAAGGGCCATTGGACTCATTCAATTATTTCCGAATCCTCAGATTGACACCCTAAAACTCTGAAATGTTCGTATTGGAGCTTCCGGCACGAATGCCAAGCAGTACAGCATGCCGTTTTCAAATTCCTGGCCGATTTAATTGCATAGTGGTTCTCTTTTTCTCACAAACGGTAACCAAACCGCGAATTAAAAAATATAAAATGTCGACAATTTATCTTGTACATATATATATATATATATATGTATATATATATATATATATATATATATATATATATATATATATATATATATATATATATATAAACATAAAAACATTAGGCAGCATACGATTTACATACAAAGAATAATCACACATAGAATTAATCAGAAATATCAATGCGATTATTGGCGACATCCATCGCTAGAAAACATAATATATGCATTAAAATCCTGTTCATCCATCGTGCGAGTTTTGATCCTGAAGAAAAAACTTGTTGTCTGTAGTTCTTCAGTTTATTTGATGTTAAAATGCTAGTACTTACGGACAGTTTTCCATCCATCATCAGGCATGTTTTTTTTCCTTATAAAATCAAAAACTTGAGACGATATACCTGTATGTCGACCGAAAGATGTTTTTTGAATATCTGCTATTATTGACGGTTGTAAGATATCGGAACGTGCACGTTTATTTAATATTTCTTGTGATGTGTTAAATCCACGTATTCTATTTTTACAAGTGTATTCAGTTTTTATGTCATGAACTAAGTATATAGTTCAATAATATAGTGTAATGTCATAGTAGTAATTTTTTTATAGGAATTTTTTTATGTACTGCGGATCGATAGTTTTTAATAACGGTTGTAAGATATCGGAATGATTATTCTTTGTATATATATATATATATATATATATATATATATATATATATAGTCAAGTAAAAGAAACATAATGTCAATTCATATCTTCCTTTTTCTGTGAACTGGCTCGCCCATTTGTCTAACACGCCATGAACCGAGATACAGGGTGCGATGAATAAATTGTCGCCGGAATTACGCGAAAATAAAAATAATACTGACATCTCGTTTTAACAGATATATTTACCAAAATTACACAAAAATATCTCGAAATATTAAAGAGTAAATTTATTCAATAAAATCACAGTTCTCCCGCTTGTATGACATGGTGCAGATTCTTGTTGCCAGACAGAGAGCCTTCCAGTAGCCACCCTATTCACCTAGGGCAGCACTACATCCTCAACCCACTTGATGTAAGCCTCAGTGTTGATCCGAGGCCTTGTGGGAAGATAAATCGAAACATCACTAGTGATCACTCCAAATATATTCGTAATCACCATTTAGATTCATCCAACTCTTGTCAAGTCCTCTGCACTGACTTCAGATTGACACCGAACAATATGAACAGCAAGCCGTTGCCAAATTTCTAGCGGAGTGAAATGCGTCAAGGTGTTCTTTTTTTCTTGCAGACGGTGCACAACTGACTTTACTATACTGTGCAGTCGACGCAGTCAAAACAGACAACGTCCGTTCATAAAATCAAAAATATAATATGGCGGTGGAACGTTTTAAAAAAAATAAAATTTACATCGAGCTTTCTACTTTTTTCTTTTAAGCCTGTGAGTA